CACGGCTGCCTTCAGTTAGAGTTTACAGTAGTAATAACTGAGCCGTGCTTTTGTTTAATGACTCTTGGAAATCTCCAAACGTGTCTGGCAGGAATCTCTGGTATTGATTTTCTCAGTGTTGATTCAATGTAGTTTGATGACAAGAGGTTTCATTTTGGGTGTGTTAAAATGAATAAGCACCTTTTTGTAATCATCTGTCAATTTGTGTATCAATGCTTTCCTTTGAACTTGGACTGACCATTCACAGAAACATTAAACAATGAAAGGGAAGGAAAGGAAAGAAAAAACGTGTTGCTTTATCATGCGAATTACATCGACCAAGAATAGGAATATTTTGACGTTAGCCACATGGTGGATTATTAAAAAAACATTTATAGAAGATGCTGTATGTGATGGATAACCACAATTGTGTGCTGCCATATGTGGATAAACCCCTGACCACATGTTTCCCTTCACCATAGTTGGAGTGACCTCCAAATATAACTCTTTCCCTACATTCTGAAAATAACAGTGAAGGTGAAACAGACATGTAGCTACATCAAGCTATATGCTGTGATGTCAAGCTTCATACTTCAATATAGATTATTATAGAATAACAGCAATTAGATGCAGTATCAATCTAAACTAAATAAATTCAATAATTAAGATATACATTTTGCTGAGATGAAGATGAAGCAGGATAAGTAGATCCAATAGAAATACTACAACTTCAAAATCAGAATCAGAATCTGGTTTTATTGCCAAGTACATTTACTTGGTGTATTGGTGCTAAACAATTAACAAGGAAATAAAGCAGAACTAGCAACAACTTAAATAATACAGTATAAGAAGCTATTACAATATATAAATTAGAATTTAAAAATGTAGAATATAAAAAAATAAAAATAAAAAAATGTACAAAAGTTGCAATGTATGAGCTGTGTAGTGGACTATGAGAAAAAAAAATCTTGTGCATGTAAAGAAAACAAGTTCTATTGGTTTATATTTTGAGTACTTCCTATTTAATTCTGAACTGTCAATGAGCAATGAAAGACAAGTCCTCCTCTCACCAGACCTCAACCTCCCCTTACCATCCCCTGACTCCACAGGGTCATCTTTGGTCAAGAGATAATAATAAGGAGGGGGGCTGGTCGAGAATATGCCAACGCAGACTGAAGATGGTTACCATGTAAAAACCAACCAAACCCTAACTAGCACTTTGTTACTAAGACATTATCATTTGATCTGTGAATGAATGGCCTTACCATGTACACAATTAAGGGTCTACAGGGTCATAACTTCCTGCTGGATTTAATTGGAGACAAAAAATGGAACTGTCCTGGACATGGGTGTAAGAGGGACTGATTGTCCACTTGCCCACCGGGTGGGCTCATTGCAGTGGAATGACACTCCAAATGTTTAAATTCAACAATGTAAAGGAACTAATTTGTGCATGTAGAAACAGACTCATGTGCAGGGACCCGACTGTACATCTGGCAGAAATGTGGGATGTTTCATCCATTAGATATGGCATCTGTTGAGAATTTACAAGTGGTCAGCCGCACTAACCCTAAATTAGCCATCCAGTGCAGTCATATGGCTAATTTTAAAATGTACCGTAGGCGATTAAAGCTTGTTAGTGGCTTGGTGAGGGAGGTGAGTTAAAGAGATAACTTGAGGCAGGGTTTGAAAGCTGAACATCTGGAGATTATCATCATTTTCAACTAAACAACGTATATAAAAGGCTTTAAAGAGCCAGTTTGCACCAACCCTCTTTGTCATAAAAGGGAACCATTACTATGTTTAATCAAATCAAACTTTAAGTATATGATCTGCTTTAGAGCTGACAACAAAATATGAGAGAATATGTTTTTATGTTAATTACACTTACAGTCATTGCCTGCACCTTGTCTAGTAGGAAAATAGAAATCTGCCTTTTTGTCGGAATTTGTTTCAGATTGTCAAATTCAATTTCTTTTGCCGTTCTCACTTGGGTCCTGATGGTGAAAGAACAGTGACAGTGGTTTTCGAGGAATGAATAACCTCACAGGAGGCTTGGAGTCTGGATGAATAACACATCAGGGAGGCAGCAGGAGAGTTACAGTGGAGAGATTTTGCTCTGTATAACAATAACTTGATCTCAGGAGCTCTAAAATCCAGATGCAGCGTAGTGAGTCCGACTTGAACAGCGAGCCTGGCAGTGTATTTGAATGGACCATAGTCATTCCTGATATTTAATGTTTCATCGATTAGAAAATAGGGTTTGATTCTAGTTGTTACATTTGTAAGTTTGAACTGTATTGAAATATGATTTTCCTTTTTTTTGCTCATTAAGTTCATAAGGTTTTCATTTTGCAGTTGATAAACATTTAGAATTGTTAACATTGAGAAAGTCTGAGGGGCACTAACTAACACATAAGTTAAATTAGTGCAGACAATTCAAACAGAAACAAAATTCTTCAGAGTTTTAAAATGTGCTGCATGATATATATTGTAAAAAGAGAGCAAGAGAAAGAGATGAGTGAGAGAGAAACTTTCTAAAAAAGTAATAGCCATGACGTGGAGACTCGATGTTTTGTGTCAAAGAAAGAGCTTACCAGATCCAAAAGTGTTTCCGGTGAGCCAACCGAGTCTAATTACTCACAATGCTGTGACATCAGTTTTCAAAGGACATGAAAAACAAGTCTCCTTTCACACGTCCATCAACTTTGTGTAGGACCTTACTTGCCCAAATGATTAACGAGAAGCTGACCACATCATGGCCAAAGAAGTCCACTTCCTTCAATAGATGGCAGTGAAGAATGGCTCATAATGACCAATGTGCTGATTATTAAGTGATTTGATTGCCTATTTCCCACCAACCTTAATAATTCTCTGATAAATCTGTAGTAGCCAAAGAAATGATTAAAAGTACATTACTGTCATAATTGGTCTAAAGTGGAAGATTGGCATTAAAACTCTTTGTCATTAGAATTTATTGGACTATAATCACAGTAAATTACTTGTATATTTAATAATATCAAATTCTTCTCTACGTCACAAACATGCACAGGTGATATCTCTGCATATAAATGCTGTATCTTCACACTCATGTCATTGTATTATATGCTTGTCTTTGTGTAGCCAATATCTAATACCACACTACTTGAGATAAAGATAAGAATCTACACAGTGAGGTCCCAGTTTATAGTGCGGCTTATTTTCATGCAATGATTCAACCTCTCCAAAATCAAAAATCATTGTTACATCATGTACAATAACTTATCCAATAATAACACAGAGACTCAACCCAAACTCTAATCTGAGAGGTGGTTATATATTTGTATCAATCTGTCCTTTGTGTGGATGTATTTGTAATATTGCTTCCTGCCCGTGGACAAAATGATCATGCTCATGAACATTATTAAACATTATTGTAATAAAAGTGTCAGGCTCAAAAAATAAAGTTGTTATATGAGTCCATTACATTGGGATTGGAGATTTTAAGGGTTGAGGCTAACATTGATGTAAGAGTGATCAGCTATATTTCTTTCCATATGAGGAAGGTATCCCTTGAATGCATTTTTTAAAGTACCGTGTTTAAACTATGTGTACCGAATCTTGTTAGCACCAAAAAAAAGTAATTATAGCCCTATTTATGAATTCATTGCTGGTTAGCAGAAGATGTTCTTCTTTTATTAGTCATTACTTTTAGCAATTGCCCAGCACTGTCCAATGTACCTTTAGATCCTCTACTGCTGTATTTAACAAAGACATCATAATTTAAACAAGCAGCTATAGCCATGGCCATAGCTTAATCTTTGCTATGCTTAATCGCAAAGTAGAGAAGATATCTTACAGGGAACCTACTGGGTGAATACACATGGTCGGTTAAGCTTTCCTATTTGTCACTCAAACAAATAGTTACAAATGGCTTAACAAAAACGAACAAAATACCAGATTGAGAAATATAGCACAACATGACGATCTTGACTAAACCAGCTGAGGATTGTAGGGATCTTTCAAGCAGTTAACATTTGCTTGCTAGCTTGGAAGAAAACCTGAAGAATGACAACTTTCTAGGAACAGGGGTTTGTTTTTCAAATGTTTCAGACTGCTATTGACCTTAACTAAAAACCCTCCTGACAACAAACAAATTGACCATAAAAATGTCAAAGTAAGCGAACTTATGTACCCTTTCTGCGATTAACTCATGCAGGCTAATGTAACCAGCTTCTAGTTCTTTTTTTTACATTTGTAAGCCCTAAACTAAACTTCTTTTCCAAAGAACTGCAAGAATGCTATGTCATTCATAAAGATTTGTGCAATAGCCTAATTTAACTTTTCCAGGTAGGATTTTATGCAGGACAAGAAGACAACAAGGCTGGTTTTCTGTTTTAAAAATCTTGCTCATGTGTGTGTGGAATATTGCTAATAAAAGAACAAGATTAATGATGTACTTTTTTTGGGAGGTATTTCATCACCAAAAAAAAAAAAACCCAAAATACACATCTGAGTTTGAATGATATGCTAACATCGTCTAATTTCTCAAATAGACTTGTGACCGAGGTGATAATTAAAGAGTTAATTCTCTATAATATTAGACTAATATAAGGGTACATAGCCTGTTGTTATCTTCAATTAGAATTAGTTAAAATGATTTTATAGCTCCTGTTTCACTCCATTGGATACTCTCCTCAAAGGTTTTGGAATAGACATATTTGCTACAGGGAATTAACATAAAACTTTGAAATTGGTTGATCCACATAATGACTGGTGTTTCCAGTCTTCCTTTTTTTCTTTTTTTTTTTGACACTGCAGCTACTCAGGCCAGCCCCATGTGTAGTGGTCGAGCCGCACTCACCATTGGCTCCGGAGCCTATAGGGGCGTTGCTGTGCGGTTGGTGAGTGCTTAGGGTGCAAGGGGTGTTCGAGGGATGGCTAAGGGAAAGCGTACTTGGCACTGATCCCTCCTATCAGTATAGATTGCAGTTTACATTAGGCAGCATTTTTTTTTTTTGGTTCAGGGGGGGGGATGAATGTGTCATAAATAGTTCGCGTTAATAGAGGGGTGGTGGATGCATGTTTAGCAATGCGATGAGGCCAGTGCACTTTGCAAGACTTGCGCTGCAGAGAGCCTCCGCGGATCCCACGACCTGTTGCTGACAAGCCGCGGAGAAGGAGAGGGAGAGGGGGAGCCGCAAGGGAGAGACGGAGGGTACTGCCTTGGAGACGACAGCCGGGGTTTCTTTGCGGAGGAAATCATGCAGTTTGCTATTTGGCTGGTTGGACTAATGTGTCATCTGTCAGCACTTGTCCGGGACACTTTGCAACACCGATTGCATCCGAAACAAGGTAGTGTGTTTTGATTTATGACTACGGTAGCCGGAGGTGTTATTAAAGCAATCTGCGGCGCTTGAGATTGATGCCCGGTGAACTGTAGTGAATGGCAGGCTGCAGCTGCATGTATTAAATTGACGCGTTACATCTACTTTGGCTCTAAATCACAACTTTCTTTCCCCAACTCTGTTTGCAGAAGGCTTCATCAAGCAGCTGTCATCGTATGAAATCATCACCCCGGTCCGTGTGAATGACTTTGGAGAATCCTTCCCGCACAAAATGCACTACAGGAGGAGACGGAGAAGTTTGAATGATGACCTGTCGGGCTTACGGGTTCACTACAGGATTGATGCATTCGGGGAACGCTTTCATCTCAATCTGAGCGCACACTCTGGATTCATTGCCCCCTCTTACAGAGTGACACACTTGGGAGCGGAGCAGAGCAACGCCACGGACTCCCACTTTCGTGACCCGAGCGATATGCGCCACTGCTTTTTCCGCGGACAAGTCAACGCCAAAAGCGAGTACCCTGCAGTCTTCAGCCTGTGCACTGGCCTTGTGAGTACTGACTTTTCGCTTTCACTTTAATTTTTTTCGCTTTAATCAAGCGATGATGACAGGCTTCCACAGCTTTCTCCCATTTCAACGGATTCCATCAGTGCATGTCCCCCCATAACCCACAGCTTTTAAAGTGAAGTGTGCAGGAGTGTAACAGGAGCAAGTGTTCTTGGACTCATGTCACTGTGGAGGAGAGTGTGCAGAGCCGCATCTACGTGCTGGTGTCGGGTGATGCTGCTCCTGAGGAACGCTGAATGGACATCATGGGTGTTGCTGCTGCTGCTGCTGCTGCTGGTGGTGGTGGTGATGGTGGGGATGTTAAGAGAAGCTGTTGTGATAACAACAATGCATTATTTGTGCCGAAGTGCTCTTTAGCAAGACATCTGAGTTGCTGCTCTTTGACTCAACCTGCCGTGTGTGAACTGAGGACAGGGCAAGCCAAACACAGAGAAATATCAAAATGAAGCGAGGTCAAAACAAATGTGCAACAGTTTGTCAATCAATTCCTTGATGCTGAAAATCCAAATTTTCACAACACATAGTTTGACAACATACTGTTGTCCGATAATCAAAGTCAGCTGCAGACGTTTTGATAATGATCAATCATTTAAGCAATTTATCAATCACTCCTTTGATGCTAGGACACCTGTAAATTCTCAGAAAAACTACCTATAGTGGCAGACAATCTAAACATGTTGCCCGTAATTCATAACTTGAGCAACATCATTTTTTACTAAGTGATTGATAATTGTAGCAATGACTTATTTGCTGCTACAAACACTTCTATATCTTCACCAATTAATACGCTACATAGTCAGACATGCTATCAGTGAATCAATTATGTCATCAACAGACGTTGTTTGAGAGTTTTGTGCTCTGTTCTGAACTTCTGATGAGGATTTGATCATTCCTTTCAACTTTTCATAGACTAAAGAAGTCGTTGATTCATGGGAAATGTAAAGGTGGTCATTAGTTGAAGCCCCAGACAACAGATATTATCACTCAGAGTAAAGCAGCTGTTGGTTTTCATTGCCCCTCGTCATATCTGTTAGATCTTACGACGCTGTGAAGGCGTTATTGGATGGAAATTACTTTACAGCCCCACTATTACAGCACGGTAATCCTGATGCCCTGGTCCTTTTTTCTGCTGACTCCTGTCCAAGAATCTGATAATTGTTGAAGGGGATGACGTCATGGGTCACCTAAGGTTACTGGTCCAGGGGCAGGGGGTTGACCTCAGTCGCGCCAGCCAGATTCTGGCGTTGGCTCTGCGCGGTGGGGGTGCCTGGCTGGACACACGGACACAAACGGGAGGACCTATAGCCTTGAAGTCAAACTCCCCTATCAGTGACATCATCCTTATTTTAGAGATACACTGTGTGCAGTACCAGCATTCCAGGATAGCTTGTCAGACTAGGTATCAGTTCTTCTTCCAGGCTTTGAACTAGTACGTTCACAATGTTAGGAGTGATAGTACACCATTGTGATAAAAAAAAGGGTCATGTTTTATCACGCTTTTTTTTTTTTTTTTTACAATTTCCATTCAGTGTAGTTTAAAAGCGAGTGTTTGTTCACGTTTGTAAATCAATTTTAGACGGGAGGTATGCTGAGATTATCAGGGTAATAAGCACATAATCACCCCTCTGACCAACTTTGATGTATGACTTGCTTATCCAAACATCTTTGCATCCTTTTTTAAGCAATCTTTGTGGCTTATCCGCATCAATCACTCATTGAGAATGACAGGACAATGGAAACAGCACCAGAGGCTATTGGGTCATAAATGTGTCCGTTTCTGATCACTGGGGCTTAATGGCCAAGCACATTTTGTTGGGATGAGGTCATTAAGGAATAATTAAGCCCTAAAACAAAAGGGTCACTTTAGAAGAAAAAAAAAAACAGGTTCCCCTTTGGTCCAGAGTTACTAAAAGCTGTCCCCAGGGGGGAATCGGGGAGGCGGGGTTGAGGAGCTTTTGGCCTTTTCAAAGTGAGCTGTGACGGGCAGAGTAGAAGAGTAGAAAACACTGTGAGGAGGACACAACTGCCAATGAAGGTTGTTTGGGACTTAAGGATTGCTCACAGCGTGGGAAACATTAGTTCCTGGAGGAACTGGCTGTCTTAGTTCACTCACATAAAAGACATCACCCTTGTCTCGAGAAATGATCTTTCTTCCAGCATCAAGTGTTCTACGTCTGTATAAAGATCATATTCATGACACCTTTATGTCCAAATCAACTTTCCAGTTTGATTGCAACTGTACATCGCATTTGCATGACTCAGCACTGACAGGGTTTAAAAGTGTCTTTGTGGGGTTAAATAGAACTGATGTGTGCCGTCCGTGTCACGACGATGACCTCGCTTTCTAAAAAAAAAAAAAAAAAACAGCCCCTCAGTTGTAAGGTCCAGTCCAGCACCCACATCTGAACAGTAACCTTTGTGTCTGTCCAAACTTTGCCAGATTTTCTGCTGAGCTGACGCTGGGAAACCCTGAAACTCTGCCCCCTCCATTGACTAAACAGCATTTGTCTGTTCAGCCCCCCTGTTAACAACACATGAGAACTTCAGAAAGTCTTGACTATAATCATCTAATTAAAGTTAACTCACCATAGATAGTGATTTACAAGGCACAGGTAAACATCTACCTGCTGGGACATTGTGTAAAGCATTTAATCACAACACAAGTCGTTCTAGTGAGGCTGTAACTTTCTCCTATTTAAGAACCTAAATCCTTGTTCAGCAAATACTAGACATTGGTTTCATAACTCACAATGTCTGATGAGACAAGCAGACATTTCTTACAGTGCATCACAAAAGGCTGGTTTAAACATTTACAGTTGTGTCAACTGAGAAATCTCTATTTGCTGAAGAGCATGGCTATAATAGAGTGTTTTCTTCCCTAAATCGAAACGTGCGGTATGTAAGTGAGATTTTTCTTTCTCCATGAGAGTGAACCTGAGTCAACCTTGCAATACAAATAATGCAGGCTGATTGGTTGCTTTGTGCTCTTGACATTCTGGAAAGGGCTTCATAATATGTGAAGGAAATTAAAGAAGTGAATTAATGAGATTTGTCCCAGCATGCCTTGCTTTGTGACTTTACTGACAGTCGGATATTGAGAAATAAGACTTTACATAAAGTACATAAAGATGCATTAGTCTTTGGGGGGGGGCATAATTCTATGTGAGTCTGTAAAATAATTCACAGCACATTATTTAGGATTCTGTTTAAACTTTGATTAATTCCAGCATTGCAGAAGTGAAATTAACCAAATTGGATTTTCAGAAGTGAAGAAATGGTGATATATTGTAGGACAGCATTATAGGAAAGAAGACCATGTGAAGTCTCTGAGGTCCAGCGGTCTCCTCCTTGTTCCTATTCTCCGTCATGTTTTCACAAGCATTACACAGCCGAGAGCGAACACATGTAACACTCAACTCCTGTTGCACTTTCGAGGAAGTATTGCCAGCCAACTAATCCTTCACCCTTTGAAAGGACAGAGAGGAAAAGTACACATTCAGTTTGCACACGTTTTCCATATCCGATTTGTGTGTTTTCCATTGTCAATCGTCCGTCACCTGTGGGGAAGGTTATGGAATAATGCTGCCTTAAAGATAACATTCCAATGCCCAATATCCTGTTTAAGTGTGCGCATGAAATTACCATACAAACACCATTGTGCCTCATGGATGAGTGAGCTAAGGAGCTTTGTGAGCGACTCAGCTGCCAAATCAATATTAGCATTCCTCTGTCAGCAGCTCTGTCTGTGTATGATGATGTCACTCCTTCCAGTGTCAGTTTGTGAGGGAAATGTGAGCACACTGACCTAGACGCTGTTCATTAAAGAAGGGAATGGTTTAGGCGATTTTAATGGCCCACTTTTTCATGATCATGTAAAATATATATAAAATGCCAAAAATGTCTTGAGATCTTGGTTGCTTTCATGGTAAGAATTTCAGCAATTATCAGCAATGAGCCTTTAGGGACCTATTTGACCTTTCTTAGTCAGCATGTTCTTTCCATTTGTAACTGTCAACTGAGCTTGTCCTAAAGCATGGAAATAATATGCACAGTGTTCCCCAAGGGCAACAGAGTATGACTGCTAGAAGACAACAACCAGAGTGAACTATGCCTTAATCTGTAAACTACTCTCAAACTGTACGTCATACACACATGCAAGTGCATGCTTTATGCCAAAGCCGTCAATGACATCTCTTTTTTTTTTCTCTCTGCTCTAGATTGGAACTTTTACGACTCAACATGGTGAATACTTCTTGGAGCCTCTTTTAAATGCTGCAGGAGAGGAATACGACGAAGAGCACAACAAACCTCATCTTGTCTATCGACACGAGAGGAATAAGAACATCACAAACACCGAGAACAACCCAAAGCCCTGTGCTGCCTCAGGTAACAGACTGCCTAACTACACTGTCTGTAACCACCGTCTGTCTGTCTTCTGCCCACAAACACTTACCTTCTGATGACCTGCATTCACTTTCTGAGCCATAGCACTAAGCCCTCCCTTAAAATATAAATTATGCTCAATCACGATCTTTGGCTTGCAAGACACCCAACATTTTTTTGTCTTGATTAAGGGGTGTGACAGAAAAATCCTCCAACTAATTAAGATAACACGTTCCAGCATTGCCTGTTGCTTTCACTCATATTCCTCAAGTCTGTGGAAGGAGCTCGGAAGGAAGGAATAATAATTTTTTAGTTTTTCATTTGTGATGAAAAGAACTGGAGAGGGTTTCTGCTTTGGCGGCTGCTTGAGAAATCTCCATAGAATTTTTATGGTTGATGTCTTTGGGTGGTGGAGAGAGGCCCACAAGAGAAGAAGACGGGATGACTGAGTAGAGTTCACCATCGATGAAGGGCCTCTGAGCCCTCGTCACAGCGAGCACCGTGGGCGGCTTTTGTAGTGTGATGCAATAAATCTTTTATATGGAGACTGCTTGATTTGCTTGTTGCCTGAACCCGGCCTTTGTCGCCTGGTGGTGGCCATTGTGAGTGGCGGCGGTTTAAAGAACTTGCTCTGACCTGATGGGCCAGGCCAATACTTCCCTAATATGCTTTGTCCTTTCACTCCTTCGGTCTGTGTGTGCTAAACAGAGACTAAGAAATCTGGAGGGTCTTTCTGCTCCCACTCTAAGGCTCTTTTAAATGCACTCTCTCTTAACAAGTGGTTGGCTGAAAGCTTGTTGGTTGGGTGAAAGCTTGGTGAATGATCCCTGACTTCTGGTGTCCCAGGAACATCCATTGTTATCTGGAGTGGTTCCTATACCAATACCAATAGTATTCATTTATTCAGTATAGGGAATTGGCAAGTACTCCAGTTAAACAACTGATCTGATACCAAAACCAATTAGCCCCCCAGAAGAATCAACTTGTTTGAGGCTAATTATTATTTGACAACAAAAAATAACTGATGGATAGACAGGCACTTTATTTTCATTGTATAAAGGAGCAACGAAACTTTGTTGTCAGCAATCTCGTTAGATTACAAATCTGATCACATTTCTAAAAATATATTTGTTGTTTTGTACATAAATTACTATGTGCATTATGTACAACTGTGCGTCAAGGTATTGGAACTGGAATTGGAATGTAAAAAAAATGTTATTAGAACTTTTCTTTTTTCATTATTCTATTCTGTTGTTGTGAATGTCTTGGCTAGTTACATCCTAACTTTTCATCTCATAACCTCACATATAACCCTTCTTACTCATTCAGTGTAAGCAGTAGAAAAGAATGAGTCTTAAAGGGATGACACACCTATAGGCACTCATCAAAAGGCAGGAAGTTAACAATGGGCAGCAGCATTAAAAGAGTCTGAGACTAGGGATGGACTGTGAGGTGTCCCAGGCTGCGGCTCCTCATCTTTATCAGATAGGCCCCTCTCCAGATGCAGCGATAAATGGGCTCTTTGAAGGCTGTACTGAGTCAAGACTAACAGGCCTGTCCTGTCTTTTTATGGGAAGGAGTGCAGTGCACGCTGCCATGAGCAGGTTAGGTATAAACACTGGCTTGGCGAGTGTTGTTCTGCTTTCAAAACACTCGTAGCGGCTGCTTCTGGTCTTTGATTGGACATTTGCCTGTTGGCTTAGGACTTTAGTTTGGAAATCTTTTCTTCTTCTTGTGATCCCAATCAGACAACCAAAGGAATCTAGAAATACATGTGTATTGTTGAGTCCTTTTTACAGTTGATAAAGTGATTACCTAAAAAAGTTATGTTCAGTTAATTGAATTTAAAATGTAACTGGCTAACCAATGCTGATCAAGGTTTCTAGGTTTAGATTAAATCAAGTTTCTATAAACAATTTAGTGTGATGTTTTACAGGCGTATACATATGTCGTTTATAGAGTTGCCTGGCTTTGGTTACATTTCCAATACTAGAAAGTACATCATCAGTGTGTTTATGAATCACTACCAAATGATCATAGTAAATCATTTTCTCTCAGCTATATATCTATTTTTAAATATTTATAGCCTCATTTTACATCTTAAATGATGGTAACCTGCCTTTAGTAATGCTTTATTGGGGCTTTATTGTATTTAACTTTATCTGATTTAACTGCACTCTGGTTATTGATGACTTGAGGTTTAACAGAAAAGATGGTTTTGACTGTTGATTATCTAGGCTTTGCACATATCTGTATTCAATTTAACTCTTTAAAGGTGACCGATTCACATCAAGTAAAGAAAGAAAAGTTTCTGATTTATCTCATCACATAAACGATGGACTCGAGAAGCTGTGGTGTTAGCAGGGGGCAGATTCCTTTCCCAGTATCTCCTCTTTTGAGGAGCTATAAAAGCATTCTGGGTCAGTCATCTTAGGCCTTTTCTCTTGTCTTAAATCAAAAACTGGGGGGGGGGGGTGGGTTGTATTTGGTGTGCAGAAGCGTTTGCAAGGTTTTAGACTTTGAAGAGGTTTAAAGCTTTATATGTCCAGCAGGTCTGAAACGTACCTACTATCTCACTTAGACCAAACACATGGGAATGGCTCACAATGCCATAAATCTACTAACCAGGCAGCTTAACTCCTCTACAAAGACATTGTTTTGCAAAACCTACTTGCTCACTGTAGCGATTAGTTTTGCTTCTTCTCTTTTCTGTGCCTGAAAGTAAAACATCACTTTGAAACCGACAGAGATGAAACAAGCTGAGTTTTATCAAGTGCACCACCAGGAAACAAAATGTGTATCAGCAGAAAGATACCTCTGCTGTGATAAGCTTTTCCCTCCCTTATAGTTTGTACTTCCCTGTGCTACAGACATCCCAAGGGCAACAACTGGGACAATCTATTGATGCTGTAAGAGTTTCCAAAGTTTGCACAGTTACTGCACACCACTGCAAAAAAAAAAAAGAAAAAAAAAAAACATGTTGAAAGGAGAGGAAGGCAATGTTTCCATATGATTTTAAGATGAACTTTGGGCTTGTCATCTCTGACACATACAAATGCTTGACTTTTTCCTACATGTTCTTCCAATACCTGTGAAGTGTCAAGGAATATGAGTGCAATGATAAGGGCTTTTAAAGTGTTACCTTGATGGAGAATGATGTTTTGTCATTCCAGCAGTCATGACACGGCTATATACCTGTCTTCAGATGCTTTTCTTCGCTGTGTGTGTTCATGCCCTGTTGACATTGCAATACATCCGCTTTCTATTTTCCGATGAATGGATTTAATTTCAATGTGCTTTTTCTTTCAAAAGTATGGCGATGCAAGAAAAGACTCAAAACACAGTGAGTCAGAAATGCAAGAATGAAAGAAAAGATCTGAATAATAACACCGTGAAATCTGTCTCATATCTGACAAATCTTGCAACTGTTTCAGTCTTCTGTCTGTGTCAGCCAACCTGGGTGGCTCCCCTGTTGTTGAGAATACCTAGGTAGCTGTTGAGTGGGTGATTAATGTTTTAAAGTCACAGAGTGTCTTGTTGTGCTTGGTTCTGGCTTTTAAAAGCCTCTGGGCTTACTGGGCTCAGATCACAACAATGCTCCGACCTTTAATGACACATTCTACGGGGTATCTGTCTTTGAGCTTGCATGTGAACCTCAGTGCGTCGCTGGGTAGAGATATCCACAAGGATGAGGGTGGCTCCAGATAGGGGCAGATTCTTCTCTCGTTCTCTGCCCTTTGCTTTCTAAAAAAATCCTTGTGAGGACAAGCAAAAGACGCACGGAAAAGAAGTTGTGCAGTATTTCTATCCCACAGTCGTTGGGTGCATTTCCAAAGCTGTGGGGTGTCATATTTTGAATGCATTAGAAACAGTGAATTGAATACAGACAGCTTGACAGCAAACATTACCATCTGTAAACCCAAACACCAATGTCCCAGTGTGGGCTTGTAAGCGTTTCCCCCAGTTTATTGATGGCTAGCTTAGGCAAGCAGGGACATCAAAGTGACAGGCTTTGATGTCACAATACTTGGCACCCATGGCATCTGTGCCCCCTGACCCTCAACACAATCGTTGTATAGGAGTCCCCCCTCAGTGCCCACTGTGTATACATGGTAGTTCAAATGCTAGCATCAGGTATTTGGTCAATGGGTTCATTTACATGGAAAAACTGCCCTCCCCCGCCTGGGGTTTGAACTAGCCGACTTGAATCGCTGCCCGCTCTCCCCTTGCGCTTTCATGTATGTGAATGGAAGCACTTGTTGATTGTGACCTCACTTCCCTCTTTGTTTGGAGTCACTCACTGAACGGGTGGATGTGACCTTGAGTTTTTCCACTCCTAGAGGTGCGTGGATACTGGGCCTGCTGGCTGGTTTCCTGGTCCTCAGTTGGAACCGTGTGTGCACTAAGCTCTTTTGTCTCCCTCTTAATTGTGGCTCTTGACGTGTCAAGAAAGGTGGCTGGCCAGCTATGGTGTGATGGACTGGTGTCGATCACCAAGACAACCTCTCTCACCTGTAGGGATTCTGAAGGTCAGATGGTTCAGGCTTTATCTGCTCCCTCATGCTCCCTGGGAAGATCCTGCCTACCAGAAAGTTCCTATTGTTGCTTGGGAAAAAGTTTTCTTTGTGTCTTTTGTGTTTGTATAAATGAGGTTTACCTGTGAGTTTTTTGTTTGCATCCATCAGGAGAGCACGTCCTCTCAGATAAGGTGTCCAATTGAGAATTGGGAATTGCTGAGCAAGCAGTGCAGAGAAATGGAGAAAAGAGCTCCTTTCTTTATGGGTTTGAGCTGTCCCGGCCTGCTGTGCATGTGCCTGTCGGTTCTGCAGCAGAGCTTGGCAGAGACCCCAGACTTTTTTCAAAACTCCCACTGCCTGCCTTTCTTCTTTTACACCTGCTCTTCTACAGAAGCATTCTTACCCACTTCCTTACTATTGGACCACGAAGATTTATGCTGGTTTGGAATTTGAAACCAACATAATAGTGTCAATGATCAATGTCTC